GCGACCGCACCGCGCTCAGGTTGCTGAAGAATATGTTGAGGATTAAGATATGGAGAAGATGGAATGGCCAGCTCAATCCTCAGACCTGTCTCCAATAGAGCATCTTTGCGGCTACCTTGAGAGACAGTAGTAGGTAGCTGCTTTAAGTCCTCCTCGAAGTTTGTTAGATAAGCTTGAAGAAGGATTACTTCGTATTAGTCTGGTCTTTGCATCCCATTTCACTGATCGACAACTTAACTGACAGCATGGAACGTCGTTGCCGCCAATATATTGCAACTAGGGGTGGACACATTCCTTATTAGAACCCCTTTTTGTAATGTTACCACCCCATTTTTCCTGAAAAAACTATGATATAGTGTTTTTTCAAGACTGGATTTCTCTGCCAACAGTTCAATTTTTTGTTGTAATTCATGTTTTTTTGAAATTTAGAAATATTCTATGTCGTATTATTATTTAAAGAACTGTTTAATGAACATGACCTGTAAATGTCTTGTTTCTATGTTGCTTCATTCTCAAATTAGACACAAAAAACATGCTATTCCTTAACTTTTGGAGGGCAGTGTATTTTGTTATCGCTGATAACGAGTGACCTTGATTGAAGCAAATGTTTAAACGCGATCTTTTCTGCTCATGGTTGTGTAATTCTGGCATGAACTGTAGCAGAATGTTTCTTTTAGTGCAGTGATAAGGAACCCAGGAGTTTATTTTCGTCATATTATGCTCTATTATATTAAAAAATGAAAAAATGCTAGTAAAACTGCTCCTACCTACGAAAAAAGTTTGTATCTTCTACGGAAAAAAGTGTTGTATAGTTCGAAAGTGTATTGAGAAATTTATGATGCAAAATTTAAGCCTCGAAGATGATGCCCGTTCTGAATAATCATTTCTGTAAACAAAGCCCTGTTAAGAGAAGTATTGCTGAAAATCCAAGTTACTCAGCTCAAGAACTATCATACAGAATAAATGTTCCAAAAAGTACAGTATATGATTATTTGAAGATGACTGGATACGTAAGCTGCTATAATGTATGGGTACCCCCCATACTTTCATAGAACATGATATACTTGCTCGAGTTTAGGAATGTGATTATTTGGTGAATAAAAATAAATCTTCCTTTTTGAAACGAATCATTACTGGAGATGAAAGGAGAATACTGTGAAATAAAGTTACAAGAAAAAGTTCATGGAGTAAGCTAAAAGAATCTCCTTTAATAACATAGAGGGATGGAAATCATTTGCATGGTCAGACTACAAAGAAATTGTGCACTGCGAATTGTTGTCACCAAATCATACTATAAATTCTGAAAAATACGGTTCCCAAAGGGAAGTTTTAAAAGCAGAAATTTGAAGCAGAGCTGAGAGCTGCCCAATTGTCCAGGTGTTGCTTTCCATCAAGAAATGTTTGACCACATATTTCGATAAATGTTAGAAAATGACCAGGAATGTCAGAAAATTGTCAGACATTGAACATGGAGGTCCATTTCCTCTAAACATCCCTTGTACTTTAATCTCCTAAGGTCACTTCAGAAACCCTTTGAATGGCGTGGAGTTCATTTTTTTGATGAATATCAAACAACACCTCATTAACTTTTTTATGAATAAATCTAATGACATTTTTAAAAATGAGTTTTTCCGTCTACTGGAGAGATGGAAAAAAGTAATATAACAAAACGGTGCTTATAAGTTTTTATGTTTCTGTAGTGCTTCATTTGTATTTATTATAAAAAATACTGCAGAACTTTCCGAATGACCCAATAATTAAATCTGGAGAATGCAGTGTTAAAGAACAATATTTGCGAGATGACTTGAATAATGTAAATGTGCTTACTTAAAAAAGGGGCGAGTATATATTTTTTTTTTTTCGGAGTGTTTATCTGGCAGATAGTTGTCATAGGTCATCCCGTTAATCCACCTCTGTTAATATGGACTTGACTGTGTATTGTTTATAATATTATTGATTACAGAAGTTGAGGCCAGCAGTGGTAGAGAGGTTAAGCCCGCTGAACATTAATAATTCGACTCGGGTTCGAAACCTGTGAATGGACTCACTGTACGTTTTCGTGGTTTTTGCCACGTGCAACGCAAATGTGAGCTAGTTTCTTTTAGAAAGTTCTCTTTGAAAGCATCTTTCTCCCTAACCATATAAGAAAATTCCCATAAGTTAGCCCTATTTAATAAACAAATAAACATTTACAAAACGTGATACTTACTAGCCCATTCAAATTCTTACAAAATTATTAAATTTCTTTTGCACCAAACAAGGATTTCATACAGTCTGATACTTCTGAGGTATTCTTCATTTCTCATAAATAAAACATCATTCAGAATATGCAGGACGCGAGAAAAGGAATTCTGAGGTAAGAAATCCTAGATTTTGACTAACCATTCTTTCGGTGTATGAAAATGAAAATCGCATGAACACATTATTGCTAAACAAAGTATATGTTATAAGTTAATTTGAAAAGTCGTTAGGACTCCGTTATGCTTAGTTGTTAATGCTTGATCGCCAATAACTTTACAATACATTTGACTTTACAATAAAATATTGCCGATTTTTTGGCTTTCGAATTCGTGACCACAGATGTCAATTGAATCAAAGCAAACCACTAATTGCATAGAATATTATGTCCAGCCAAAGATTTTGTAAAGAAAGCAGCTGAGATGTCATAATGATGAATGTTGTCAATTATCGTTTGGTAGGCTTCTTGGGAATTTGCTAAATAAACTTATTCCTAAAACTTTGTAGATGCACCATGTAAATGATTACTCAGTTAGAGTAAACAGTAGTACATTGCCAATGTATTAACATAGGAATATTATTACCTTATTATTGGTTAAGAACTTTTGACATCATATTACGTAGCAACAAAACGGGGAAAAGTTATATTATAATTTGGTATAATAGAGCAAATCAAAGATTACTTATCAGAATTCCGAAACAAATAAGCAAAACTTTCGGAAACGAAACTAAACTATTATTTTTCGTTGCAACAAAATACGCAGCTATACGTGTTTGCATTCGATAAGAAGAAAGAATGCGCTTTTGCATTCGATATCTTTTTTCCTTCCCATTTTTTAGCCATGAATATAAAAAAAAAAGGGTTTTCGATTCATGTTATCAAAGATAATAATCCTCTGTTTATTCTTTCCAACTCTATTTTGTTTCCTGCTATTGTTTACTTTGTTAATTTTCTCTTTTACAGTTCTTTAGATTTTGTAATAAAAGCACTCATGTATTTAAATGTGTTTTTTCACAAAAAAATCTTTTGAAAAATAGCACTAAAGATTTTAAATGCCAAGAAATGTCAAAAATTCAAACTTTATTTCTGTTCTAATCTAACTGAAGGTGCTTTTCTGATGCCTTCTGTTGTCATTGACATTTAACATAGCTTTTCAAGTTATTCATGTTGAGTAAGTGTCTGAATAAAAATTTGATTGAGGAACGGGTGCTTACACTCTGTAGTTTTCACATAGACTAGAAAGTACAGTTTGATCCTTTTGTACAAAATACATCTCTAAGACAAAGCTAAGAAGAAAAACACTGTTTATTTGGATTCGGATTTATTAGACGCTAGGATTTCCTGGAGAAAGGGATGTTTTCGTAAAAGACATTCTAAAGAAAAACTGTCACGTATTTATTTACTCTACACATGAAAGAAATCTCGAAAACGCCTGCGTAAGCAGCCTTCTTGCTAGAATGAGAATCCAGTCGACCTGACCGTATTCAGCAATCTTAATCTCTCGGCCTTTGGTGAGCCTTTACGTTCATTTGAACCGCAATTACTGTGTTTAAAAACACAATTTACACTATATTAAAATGAGTTTTAGAGTTTCTAGCGATTAAGTATTTAAGAAAATTGTAGAGAAATTATACTTCAGCTTAGAGCTCACCAAACCTATGCCCGCGAGCACCAATGCAGCGGGCACATGGCCAGCAGCATTATTTTTATTAATTAAGAATATTACATTTTCAGTAAAAAGTTATGTAAAACCTTTTCCATAAGTTATTAGAGAAATATAAGCGTATTTGCTTAAAAATTATTTGTTCATATGATTTTAAATTTGCTTGCCAGACATTCCCGTTTGATCAGGATTGTCCCAGTTTGAAGGTATGATCCCGACGTCCTGACCAATTTGTCACTTTCACAGAGTTTGTTAAAAATTTAAAATAATACCAAATACCATTGCTTTCAACAATTAATATCACAAAGTACAGATCTCGACTTACAGATGAACATCTTGACAATTGCTTAGGAGCAAGAATATCATCACACGCTCCTAATAATGAAGCATTGGCCTATGAAATACAGTGCCAAATATACTTTACGAATAAAATGATATATAAATATGATTTTTATGAAGGGCCTTATCACCTACACAGAAATATCGTTTCGCTTAAGTTGCGAAGACACTCACTATAACTCTGATGAAGAAGAATGGGTGCAGTGCTTAGTTTGCAGAATGTGGGCACACGTTAAATGTTTGAGAGGAAACAATCTATCATTTGTGTTAACTTAAATTCCGAAAGAGATAGACTTTTATGTTGATTGGTTTAAAAATTTTATCTTTGTTTTACTACAAGTCACTTGATACCATTCAGTGTCAGTATATCAAGTAATAACAATAAGCAAATGTTTTTAAAATATGGTTATTTTTACTGTTACTATTTGACCCAAGCTTGTCACAATTTGTCTTAAGTCGAAAGCAAACTATAAAAAATGAGTATAGTTTTTGGTAAAATATTTTTGTGTTAAAATCAACAAAATTACCGAATATTTGTTTTATGGATATGATGAAAATATGGTTCAGGTTTAAAAACAGTGGTTATGATCAAGGAATCTTAAATATGTTTAAAATATAAAAATGAAACTATGGTTCAGGTTTAAAAACAGTAGTTATGATCAAGGAATCATAAATATGTTTAAAATATAAAAATGTTTAAAAAATTGTTACAAATAGACCGTAATAGATACGCTCCTAATAGATGCTACCTTTTTACAGACTCGAATGGCTGTATACTCAGCTCATACGCCAGCTGGAACTTCAACAAAAAGCATAGTGCATTTTGCTCAAGTAAGTATTTAGCTCAAAAATATTTAATTTTAAACTCTTTAACAAACAAATTTAAACTCTTGAAATGTTATTATTAATATCAAATTAAAAGAAGCTATTCAAAATACAATACCACTGTGTTTTGTTTCTTCATACAGATGGTTAATTCCAAGAAGTTTCTAAAATATGATTACGGTAAAAAAGGAAATCAGTTAAATTATAACCAGGTTAGTAATTGTTCTTTTTCGTTGTTGAATACGTACCAGAATAAATTAAAAAGTAGTGCAGTAGTATTCGTTGTTTAGGTCCAAAACGCACTTTAAATATTCTAAAACGCTCTGGAATGTTCTAAAACCTTGTAGCTGTATCTTTATTTTGTTACAGTATATACTGAGTAGTAACTACTGAAAATTCATCTCCTTATAACTCCTGACGATCTCTTTTCTTGAATAAATTTAGATAGTTCTTAATCACTTACCAAATTAATATATGAACAAAGTAATTTAATGGTAAGGCAAATATTCATGCTGCTATAAACTCAAATAAATATACGAACTCATAGCACGTAACAGTATTATGCTTACATGTTTTCTATACCTGCAAATAACTATTTAGAATTCCTTCATGTTGAAGGCTATGAATATAGTAGTGCCTATTAAAGTAAAGTTTCCAGGAAAAAAAAAGAAAAAAAAAAAAAAATTAGATTGCGCATAGAAGTTTTTATAATTCACAATTCGGAGATTCGCCGTTTGTTTAAATACTTAAGTATTCCTTCTGTCTTTTAACTATTATCAAGGTTCTTTCAACTCTTCAAAATTAAAACCGATTAAATATCAGAACAATTTTAAAATGTACTTTTTATATTTTGCCGCTTTAATAGAGCTTTTATTGAAATACTATTCTTACTGTTGGTATTTCTCATTAACCTCGCTCTGCAGTAAATATAAAGAATGTACTTAGCTACAAAGTGTTACTTTAAAACAGGCACTTCATAGCCATTTCTCTTCCCTTACACACTATGACTCGTATCCTTGGTGACGACAGTTGCGGAGAAAAGTCGAATCCTCTAATTTGCTAAAATCCTCTTATTCTCTCTTTGTGATGATGACGACACACGTTACGATCATGAATGAGGGGAGATTCGGTACGACCTTGAAGTACTTATTTTAAAGTAACAGATTATAGTAATCATTTGATATGATATTCCAATATGGTTTCATTTATTTATTTATTTATTTAGCCCACTCCACCGGAGTATGACGTTTCAAAGATAACGACACCTGTCGCTCTCATCTGGTCCCTGAATGATAAATTAGCGGATCCGACAGACGTTGGGCTTCTCCAAAAGAAACTTAGGTCCATGGTATCATCTTCCTGCGTATCATTTCCACTTTTTAACCATGGAGATTTCGTACTGGCTGTTGACGCTCCTAAGCTGGTGTACAATGAAGTGTTGGGCCTTTTCCAGAGATTCTCCCACTGAACTTTCGATGCATAACTGTTTAATATAAGCTGTGAGATAAAAAATTCACACTATCAGGAATAGTTACACTGACCCGAAGGGAATGTTTTTATTTATTTATTAGCTATTCTTGAATTTGAATGGTGAAATATGTACAGATTTAAAATGTTATTAAAATTTTTATTTGTAAGTATGCATTAATTTTGTCTTTATTGTATATTTATTTATTTAATACTGAAGCGCAAATTTACTTTGGTTTTCCTTTAAATGGAGAATAATGAATGACCCGTAAATTGATTTTTTTTTTTTATTTATACGTGTATGTATAGTCTTGTCATCATTAAACAATGGAAGAATGTTACTGTATTACGAAATCGAAAGTATTCCCTCTGGATTAAAATTATTAGTTTTAGGTAATTATTTGCAATAAATATAAATTTAGTAATTATTCGCGTAAGTAAAAGAGAGAGAAATTAGTCTAACTGAATACTCTAAAATAAATAATACTATCAAGTTTTTCTTTTCCCTGTTTTCTCTGACTAAAATACTGTATTCGCACAATTTAAACTTACATTTTAAGTTCAGATGAACCATAAACATTAAATAAATAATTAAATCAATTAGATCTAACAGTTGTTTCGACATACCCTGAATTTAGTTTTAAATAAATTAATTTATATTGATATTCGAAACTGTAGTTCGTATGTTTACACCTTTCACTCATAATATATGAGACACTAGGCAGAGTCTTAGAACGCCAATTAGGGAATGCAATAATTCTTAATTGTATGGACATTTCACAAAAGCCCCTTATTCTATTTTTAATACCATCAAGAAAATTTTAGAGCAGCAATTTCTGTTCATCTGTTAAGGAACTTCTCGATCCCTATAACATTGTGGGAAGTAACATCTTGCACATAGGTCGACGTGTACATGGATACCGTCTATGAGCAATTCTTAAAAACGCGGCAAGCTGTGTCCCTGTAACATCTTGCAGTTCTTATTTTCGACTTTCCAAATGTGGCTCGTGGAATTCCATTCCAGAGAAACTATATCCTGAATTTAAGTAACTCCCGAGTTATTCATCGGCCAACGCAGTTCTGTATCGCTCAATACTGATAATAAATTTGGCCTGGGATGGTAACTACTGTGAAAAACGTCAGATACAGCTCTATCTCAAAGCAGTAATGAGTTGAAAATGCTTGAAAAAAAAAAAAAAAAAAAAAAAAAAAAACAAAAAAAAAAAAAAAAAAAAAAAAACAATACATCCATTCGTTATGTTATCCCACTCTATAGTTCCACCAAGCGCGTTTGTCAGAAGGTGTAAATATGGCAACAATAATGGCTTTCTTCAATAAAGACCGTCCTTGGCTAATCTTTGGAATATGGTAACAGGTAGTTTGGCGACATTTTGGTAAGGCGATAAAGGTTACTAGCTAGGACTTTAGCAGTGTACGTGGATAAAGTCAAGAGTGTGCGCAATGCCATTTTTGTGCAATTCTGAGATGTTTTTTTTAAAGTGAAAATAGGTTTTTTTAAGTGAAAATAAGTGTACATGGATACCCTGTATGTGCAATTCTTAAAAACGTGGCAAGCAGTGGGCGATCCTGCACTTTCTCCCAATTTCGCACCTAATCTTCGTCATGATTAAGCACTTTTGTTCCATAAAAGTTCTAGCATAAGCGTAATTCGGCTAGCAGATTGTTGGAAGAAAATGTTGAGTAAAAAAAAGAAAAAAAAACATGCCTTTATTTCGTGAAAAGAAAATGGCGTAAAAAAAAAAAAAAAAACTAGCAGATTGCTGTAGCAGGGTTCATCGCCAAATTTTTGCCAAAAAATCGCCAAGTTACCATAATCTGAAGATTAACCCCCTCCTTTTATCAATCTTTCAACTAACTGTATGTCAGAAATTTCAGCAACAGAAGAGAACTCTAAATAATGTTACTTATTTTAGTGTTGACTTTGCATAGAAGGTGTTAGAATAAAATAACGATCATCTTATCTTACTTTTTGGCTACTAGACTGTCCAGACGTTTTGCTTGTTTTCTGAGGTTTTTAGAGCTGTTTCATGATACTTTTATGCATTCAAAGATTTGCCAGCTTCAACCTGAGTTTGCTGTTCATCCAAATTTCCAGCTGGCATTTTCATTACTTTTATGCTAATTGTATAAAGAACTTTTGCGTTATCCTGCGAGTGGTTATAGCGTAAGAGATTACCAAGCCCAGTTAGCATTTGGAAGATCCCGACGTTTGAATCCCAACGGCGACACAATTGATTTCCCATGTTTCTTGGTTCGAAAATTCTTACTGATTTCTACAGGGTGTTCTAGCAAAATGTGTTGAAAGATACTTCTTCCCCACCTGCATTTGGTCAACTGAATATGACTCTTCTTATTTGCTCTTTTAATGGGGGGACTATAAAGACTAATTCTATTCCTCTCTCTATGTATGTTCTTGTGTTTAAGTGGCTAGCGCATTCAGGTAGCCGCTGGGAATCCATAATTCGAAACTTGACAAAGGCACAGTTGAATTTTCTTGTTTCCTGATGCGCATATTCTAATGGTCTATAACCAGGGCTTCTCAAACCGTCGATCACGTAACTAAATTTTGCAGTAGCAGAAATTTTAGCAGTATTAGAAAGTAATAATCAATCAGCTATTCCCTATAAAAGTACTAAATAATAGTAAAAGTAATATTAGTAATCGAAAGTAATAATAATCAATCAGCTATTCCCTATTATTCTTACAGTGTATTGACGGTTCGATTCTTAAGATTCCTTCTAATAGCTAAACGACAAGGTATTCTTTTTCTAACAGTTTTCATTTAGGAAAAAGAAATACTCGAACTTCCTAATTCTGACTGGTTGCTTGCCAACAATCAAATTGAGCTGGTGTACAAATTTTACATTCTTGTGGGTACTACATTGAATAAAAGCTTAAACATCAACGTGATGTCCACTCATGTTAGCACTGTCGTAGCTCTGCGATATTAGTTTTTTTGATTTGTTAACTACTTCCAAACAAGCTTGGATACATTCACCTCTAGATTTTGCATCATGCCCAGGATTCGTGAATTCCCAAAAAGCTTTCAACTTCGCTGGCTGACGATGGTAACAGCAAGATGCGGTTACCAGAGATCTCATCTAAACATTCAGACTCTCGGCTTAAATACACACAACAATCAATTTGCATTCTTGTGAGGAATACGGAAAGAAGTTATAGTAAAGGCTTAAATCATAATAATTGGTTAATTAACATAAAATACCTGACATATTCTTCTTTTTTACCACAATTGAATGAAAAAACAGAAAGAATGAATCGAATATTACAAGAAAAAATAACAGCCTTGCTGAAATGTTCCAAATTAGAAAAAAATACGGGAAGAAGTTTTTTGAATTACAGATTATTTTTTAAATTGTAGCAATGAGTTTTTAATCCGCGTTGGGTTTCAGAGGTGTGTGGTCTTCCTAGAAGTCTGTGGAGGAAACCGCGTTGCGTTAACATAAATAGAAAGCATATTTCATTTTCATATGTTTTATATCTATAATAAATGTATAACAGATTATAAACCAAAAAATATTACATAACAAGAAAGTACTAGAATATTTTATAACTATTGTCATAGCAAAAAGCAATATCAGGAGAAGATAAAGAAAAAGGATTAGAAACTATTGAAGAACAGAAAAAGGTCTTTAATAGAATTAATGGTCATTAAATGGAAAGTTGTGAATGAACATGAAGAAGGAAAAAAAATTAGTCATTTAATGGAATTTTAATGTCAAAAGAGGTGGTCAGTTCAAAGCTAGACTTATTGCTAGAAGGTTTCAACAAAAAATAAGAATTGACTTAGCATACAGTCCATAAAGAATAAAGAAGCATACAGTCCTGTTGTTAGTAATGAGGATATTATGTGCATAGCAAGCAGCATTGAGAATATTATTTTCAGTAATCTCAATAGCAGCAGTGAGAATATTATTTGCAATGGCTAAGAAGAAGTTTAAAATAATGCAATTAGATATAAAATTAGCTTTTCTGCATGCAGATATAAAAGAAGATGTTTATATGAAAGTTCCAGATGTCAGGTTATGTTATTTGAATGTTTACAGGCAGAAATATAGCGGCTAAAACGAGGACGAAAGCGTCGAGGAGAAAACAATGCAAGGAAGAAAGCGTCGCCTCGTCGAAAATATCGTTATAAAATGTAAATCAACTACAAATCATCGTATGAAGATAACATCGCAGAAATCTGTTTTTGAGGCTTTAAAAGTTGTAAAAGCTCAATAAAGTAATTATAGTTTAAATATAGCTTTCGAGAAATAGTTTAAGAAGTTAAGATCTTTTGTTTTAGTTATGTCTACGAAAAAGGTAAAATACTCATGCACTTTTCAAAAATTGTACACATATGACTTTCCTTCTATTATTTTCTCAAGGAAATGTAACACATTTGCGATGTGTACCGTTTGTCATTGCGATTTTTAGATTTCCCACAGAAGGGCCGATTTTTTTTTCAAACATGTGCGTACATAAAAACACAAGGACAACGTGAATTCTATTTGGGGAGGACAAAAAATCTAAGAATTTAGACTTTAAAAAAAAATTCTGAAATGTTTCAGATTTTAAATTACGTCCAAAGGGGCGTTTTCTTAACTTTTGTGTTAGAAGGTATCTCTCCCGCTTTCCTAGCTTGCCTTCGTGGTGTAGTGGTTCTGCACCCTGGGCCGGTATTCCAGAGGTCCGTGGCTCGATTCCCGGCGAAGGCGTTTGCTAATTTTTCCTCTCTCTTGCTTCCAAAATACCTAATGTCTCTACAGTGTGTTACCTTTATTTATTAAATATCATGTTCTTTGCACTTAAACCATAAAATTGAGTTCAATAGCAATGTCGCAAAATAATTTTAAAATGAGCATATCTTTCAAATTTCCGATACACAGTTCCGCGCCCTCTGGTGATAAAAAGGTTTTTTCTGTACTACGTTGCCATTGCTCGCTTTGAAGTCCTTGAGTTTGTTAATGAAAAGTTCGCTAAAGTTTTACAAAATATGAAATCGATAATAAAACAAATTCCAACTTTCAAATTGGGTCTTCCACATGCCCGTATTCGTAGCAGAATTACGTCATTCAAAATTCGATGGCTCTATGTACCGTTGTTTCATCCCAATGCGAGAAATAGACATACATTTATGTATATTTTTCATTATT